AGAGAGAGAGAGAGAGAGAGAGAGAGAGAGAGAGAGAGAGAGAGAGAGAGAGAGAGAGAGAGAGAGAGAGAGAGAGAGAGAGAGAGAGAGAGAGAGAGAGAGAGAGAGAGAGAGAGAGAGAGAGAGAGAGAGAGAGAGAGAGAGAGAGAGAGAGAGAGAGAGAGAGAGAGGGTGCTCTCAATTTAGAAATACAGTGGATGATTTGTCTTTCAGATAGAGAGATGGCATATTTCATCGTGATATGACAAGAATCAGATAGAGATTGGGGGTGCTGGGGGGCCAGGGGCATATCTAAGGTAGAAAGAGACGATTTGCATGAAAAAAGGCAGAGGAGAGAGAGCTTCCTACTGCCCAGAAAGATGAGCAATGCATTTGCAAGAAATAGGCGGCAAGGCAAAATGTATAAGAAAAATACACATGTAAATATTGGTGTTCATGTATCTAGATTGTGTCAACATACATCCACCCACTCCAAGAAAATTATCAAGTGTATCACTTTAATGAAAAGACGTTGAAGTTACCTTGGCAACTTCACACATCTCCCTCCCAAAACTGTCAGACAATGAAATGCATAATGTTGTATATTATTTATGAAAAAAGTTTATATAGAGCCGATGCTCTAATCAATTAAATTTGAGCCCATCTTAAAAATTTTATTGGAAGAAGTTGTTTTGATGCTTATAACAGTGGATTTCAAGTTTTGAAAATAATGTATTTTGTAACGTAATTTTTTTACTGTCGATTTTCAAAAGTTTTCATAGATCTATCGATCTACACTATTTTTTAAGCTTTAAACTTTATAAATGAAAATGAAAATATATTTTAAATCTGTTACAAATATTTTCTGTATTGAAATCACATTTCTTGACACTATTTGAAGGTAGGCTCTAATTTGAGCCTAGGCACTATATAAACTACACCTATTATTTACTGGGTGTGGTTTGCATAAGGTTTCGAACCTTAAACAATTCAATTAACGCCCGCCACTAAATTTTGTCCGTAATATAATTTTGATATAAAATGTTTTAAGATGGCTTGAGCTAATTATAAAATTTTAAATTCTAAAAATGATTCAAATCAAGTAGATCTATAAACACATGAAAATCTTTAAAATGAAGATGTGCTGCAAGATACACTATTTCGTGGACTTGAAATCCCTTTTTTTATTTTCATATTCATAAATCATGATGTCGAGATGATCAATTAGTGAGTTTTCCAACATCCAAATAAACTATGATGGATTTTTTAGGTGTATCTTTATTTTGACAATTTAAAGTTGCAATCTTTTTTTTTTTTTCCTTATTTATTGATAAATGAGAATGAATTTAAGTAGGCACTTTTATCATTAAAATGATCAATACTGTGTCTAGATAAATGGATTATTTTTGCGTTCTCACCCTTATAAATGCCCTTGCTTTCTCTGACCTTCACAAACCAGTGAGAATCACATCTCATCATCATAAAATCAAATTACTAAATAGTCTTAATAGTTCGTAAGAAAAAATGATATTTCCCTCTACATTCACTTTAGAGAGAAATGAGTAATGGGATTGAATTTTGGTACTTTGATTACGTATATCAAAACCTTATTTTAGTAGGTTGATCTTTTATGTTTCAATATATTACTTAATCGCGAAACATTTATTTTAGGGGCAACTTTTCTATGCTTTTCCATCCATCCATTCTGAATGGAGGCCTAAGATTGCTCCAATCACAATGTCATGTCTCTACACTATTTTATTTTTAATTTTTTTCTATAAATTATTTTGGCACCAAATTTTGGACATTGAATCCTCTATTAAACTCGCACTAGCAAAAAATATAAAAACATATTTTCAATAAAGTAAAATGATCAAAATATCTTTGAAAATTTTAATGGGTATTTTGGCCATTATATTTTATCGAAAAATTATTTTTAATATTTTTTATAGGTGCATCTCAATGAGTAGATGACACGTACTAAATTTCATACTCATCCAATTTGTATAAAAAAAATTAAAAATAAAATAGTTTGAGACGTCGGTCCTACGATGAAACGGTGAGTGGCTCTCGTGATCAAAATTGGACGGTTGGATGGTAAGAAAAACATAGATCTTGTATGTTGTAGATGAAGTATAGAAACCTTTTTTTTATTTTAAAAGTACTTTCTCTCTATATTTAAAACTTAGATAGTTTTTTGAGAGAGATAGAGAGTACTTAGAGGCAAACTTTAAGCTTTATTTCTATTTTTGTTTGGAGAAAAAATAAATCAAACAAAATTATTCCAACACCACTCGAAACTCATTCCAGATCATATTACATCTCTAGAGCTTTCTAACGGTCCAAGAATCGCACAAATCAGACCCCCAAAACCAAGTTGGAAGCTTTGAGATAAGCAGATGAAAAATACTCTAATATCCCTATCTGGCTGCACACCGCCCGAGGCATTGGGCTACGGAAGGAGGCCAGCCTCGCGCATGGGCCACGCAACGCAATCCGTGATGCACCACTCGAGGTGCAATTCCTCGTGCAGTCTGATGTGCCCAATCAACACCTGACCTTTTCCCCGATGGGTTTGACTTATTTTCAATCAGAAAATTTAGAATTTTTTTAATTTTTTTACTCAATCTGAGCCCTTAGATTGAATTGACCTAATTTCAAATTTTGTTGTAAGAAATGTCAATGTTGATCTTAAAAATCTACTTCACATCTAATCATGAAATTTAAAATACAAAAAATGATACAGCGAGAGAAGATCTACAAACAGATGAAAATTTTCAGATGGACAGTCTAGATAAAGTAATACAAAATATAGTATTTTTGGCATACATATCGAGATCGAGATGATGTCTTAAAGGGTTTTCTAGTACTAGAATTACCTTTCTTAGTAGATTGTTGAGGAGTGCCTTTTATCAATAGTATAAGGTCGCAACAACCTGTGTAAACTTTTTCCATTAATCAATTCAAACAATTCTGGAGAATTCCTTATCACCCCTAAATTATATTAAAAATTTCAAAAATACCCTTATGAATAGTAACTCATGCACAATACCATGAACAATAATTCATAAATAGTAAAAATAAATCGTAAATAAAAATTGAAGTATTAAGATGATGTGAGCATGGAACCATCATGACTGCATCAAAGGCTACCTTGCCCATTGACCATTTCAACATGACTGCATCCAAGGCTAGATTGTCCCCATAGGGTTGGCCCAAGCCAAACAAAAAAATATAAAAATCAAAGAAAAACATAAAAAAAAAAGAGAGCTGGACCGAACAGCGGTGCCATTGGCCCTAGCCCAGCCCTTGGGCTACAGTTTGTGGCCTAGACCATACTTTTTTAGGGCCAGGTTGCCGAGCCCATGCCAGCCCTACAATCAACCAACAGCTACATGCCTAAAGACTCTACGGTCTATAGTATAATCCCTGTAGTTTATACTACTCATAAACACCTCAAGCCCGTTATCGATGTTTACTCTAAATCCAAGGACGGTCTCATCCAACCATAGGCCACAATATGTTTTCAACCAAGCCATCAAGAGAGCCAAAAGCCGAGCCGAGGAGATCCGGCCGGGCCGGGCCATATTCTCGCTATGCTGATCTACGTAGAAGGAAACGATGGTTTCCTATTTCACCTACCAAAAATAAGATCCAACAAATGCAATATATCATTCTTTCTTCACCTTTCTAATTAGAAAGCCAAACGCTAGAGGAAAGGAGGAAAATAATGAGAAGAGCCCACCCTCTCCTCCCCTTGCATTTTTCGGTAACTTTTTCAGGCTAATTCCCGGAAAGAGCCAAAAACCAGACCCAAAATCTTCATTTTCTCGTTCACCATGATCCAGAGCTACTTGCGATGATCTCGAGATTGATACTATGATCCAAATAATGGATGTGACCAACCGTGGATCCAACTCCTAGCTCCACCTGCAGGAATTTATCCAGCTTCGCGGGAATCTGGCGTCAAGATAAAGCGCCACCATCCCAATTTTCCGGGATCTTCATCCAGTAGACACGATCAAGATTCCGGAAAAGCGTAAACGTGCTCACCGGAAAACAAGCAAATGCAAAGGACAGGCAACACCAGAAAAGAAACACCAAACTATGCAATAGAAGATGAAGAATGTTTGGGACTGAGGCTCGTCGGGATGTTATTACAATGTGCTGAGGCGGTAGCCATGGACAATTTGGACCTTGCCGCGTCCATCTTGCCCGAGATCACGCACTTAGCATCACCGTTCGGCTCACCTGCCATGCGAGTAGCCGCGTACTTTTCAGATGCTTTGCAGTCCCGCCTCATGAGCTCGTGGCTCGGCATGTATGCACCATTGCCATCTTACGCGCTCGAGCCCTTCTCACAGAGGCTCTTGAATGCATTCCAAGCCTACAATGCAATTTTGCCATTGGTGAAGTTCTCGCACTTCACGGCCAACCAGGCCATTGTTCAAGCAGTGTCTCAGGTATCGAGAGTTCATATTATCGACCTCGACATAATGCAAGGGCTGCAATGGCCGGGACTTTTCCACCTACTTTCGACGTGCTCCACAAGCCCGCCGTCAGTCAGAATAACCGGATTTGGCTCATGTGCACGGGAACTAGCAGCCACAGGTGAGCGGCTCTCTGTGTTTTCGGCGTCGCTTGGGCTGGCGTTTGAGTACACAGGGCTAGTGTGCCGGGCAGGTGAAGTTCGGGACCTGGCACGGCTCAAGCTACAAGGGGGGGAGACCGTGATCGTGAACTGGGTCCACCATTATATGTATGATGTCACTGGCTCCGATGCTGGGCTACTGAAACTGCTCCATTCCGTGAAGCCACGGCTCATCACGATGGTCGAGCAAGATGTCAGCCATGGAGATGGAGGTGGTTTTCTTCGCCGATTCGTCAATGCCTTGCACTACTACTCTGCCTTGTTCGACGCTCTGGGATCAATGCAAGACAGCATGAATCAAGACAGGAATATCGCAGAGCAGCAGGTTTTGGGGAGAGAGATTAAGAACATCGTGGGAGGGGGGGGGCGGAAGAGGAGCGGTGAGATGGTGGTGGAGAGATGGGGAGCAGAATTGGGGAAATTGGGGTTTAGGGGTGTGTCGCTGAGGGGGAGCGCCGCCGATCAGGCCAGGCTTTTGCTGGGTATGTATCCATGGCAGGAAGGGTACAGTGTGGTGGAGGAGGGCGGTTGTTTGAGGGTGGGGTGGAAGGATTTGGCTTTGCTCACAGCTTCGGCATGGGAGCCTTGTGTAATGTGATGGAGGGGGCTTCTTCTCTCTCTACTTCGCATGGTATGGTGCGAGAGAAGGTAGGTGACAGACGGTGGGATGTGAGAAAGGGTTTCCACGTGTTTTCTTTCTTCTTCTTCTTCTTTAATAAATCTCTCATTCAATAGTGTTTAGTTTCGATGGATAGATTATTACTGTTTTATTGTCTTCCATTTTCGTAGACACTGGTTGTTTATTCTTACTACTCTCTCTCTCTCTCTCTCTTATTTTTAGTTCTGCGTGGACTGCTTAGTTGCGGGGATAATGGCTCTCTCTCGACTACCCAACACGTGGCAATAATAACGCACACTCTCTGTCAAAAAAAAAAAAGGATTTCTAATGATCCGCTGTCCCACGGATCATGAGCATGCATGCATACGAAGGACAAACAATTAGTACATTTGAATTGTGACATATAAACATGCGGTTTGTATAGCGCCGCCACACGGATGGATTTTTCACGTGACCCAATAAAGAGAAACAGTAACCCAACCACGCAGCCGGTCTTTTTTTCTTTTTTTTTCGATAAAGGGCGGTCCACCGGTTTCAAAAGGCAATATTACTAGATTTTAACGCTCCGACAAGGCGGTTCGATATTAGGTATTACTGGATTCCAGGGCTTCGGTACTATGTAAAGGGCAGTTTGGCTCTACTCATTTTCGGTATGGTAGTTGTCTTATGTCGGTCCGGTATTTAAGTTTTTGTAAACAATGGTCCGACAATACAATGGTGCGCTCAGTCAATATGCTACCATAGTTAACAATTTGGGTACTATCAATAAATCGGCTCACCATAAAATCGGAAATAAATCATTTTTATTTTAAAAAGCAGGATGAAAAAATGGGGTAAAAAAATATGGATCGGCAAAAATACTTCAGATATCTCTAATATATCGGATTAGGCTCAAAAAATCGGAGTAAAAAAAGTAGATAAATTTATAATAGCAAAAATTTTAAAATTATAAAAATATAAAAATTATCTCAAAGCTATCAATAACTAATTCGTCCATAAAAACTTTACTAGACTAATATAATTGAGTCAATTAATTTAAATGCCTCGACACTCTCATCCAATCATCTAATATTAAATACATAATTAACTAGTATATACCAAAAAAAAATGTACCATATAAATATACCCTTTAAATATTTTCAGAAACATCCCACCTACTTATTTCATACCAAAAACAAATATAGTATATAAATTTATTCATTAAATACTTTAACTATAGTATGGTGACAAACATACTACATAAATTCATTAAACACTTAATACATCACACCAACTTAGTTGGTTCCAAAAAAGAGTTCACGATTTTTGTTTTCTCATTACAATGATTTAACTATAGTACGGTGAGTATGATCACTACATAACTATGATTAAAGTTTTGTAAATTTCTTTAATTGAAAATAAGCTCTTTGAAACTTGGGTTTCACATGTGTGTGTTTACGGTTTAGAGAGAGAGAAGGATGAAGGATGAGGCTCATACCCATTAGGGTTCATAGAGAGAGAAGAAAGAAGTAGGAAAAGTTCATCAGCTATGGTTTATAGAGAGAGAAGAAGGAATAAAGAAGAGTTCATCGGCTTCACAAACCCTAATGGAAGATGCTCTTATTGATTCTTAGAAAGAGTAAAAGAAAGGAAGATGGGATACTGATTTGGGATAGTTTGAAGATGATTTTTCTCTGATTTGAGTTGTGGTTGTTTAAAAAAAAGTCCTAACTATACTGAGTTGTTGTTTTAGAAAAAGCCCTAATTATACTTATTTGTAAAGAGGCCTTAACTGACTTTTTGATTTGTGAAGACCCTAACTGATTTTTAAAAAAAGAAAAGAAAGAGGGTTTTTCATTTTGTTTGGGAAACAAGAAGTTGGGAGGATTGCTTGCTCCTGTAGCTATATTGTTTATCTTTGTTATGACATAAATCAAAAACTTGTACTCACACTCTCTGCTTCTCATTCATCACTAAAAGACTATGTTTTGAGCTCTAATTGTGCCATAAATATTATTTTTACAAAAACAATTATCACAAATAATAACAAAAATATGCATGTATATGATTTTTTTTAGATAGTGATTTACTTTACAAAATGATTTGCTATAAACAGTATTATTTCATTTATACAATGATTTTCCATAATAACAACTTTGTTTAAATTTAAAAATAGGGAAAAAAAATCGTACTTTCAATCTGCAATTGTGGCATTGAAGAACACTGGGGATAAAAATATGCATTTTTGGTTTTTTTTTAAATAATTTTTTTTTTCAAAAGCATGAAAGTAGCATTGGCCCCAATACACGAACAGGGAAAAAAATTATTGGTAAAAAAAGATACGATTTGTTGGCCTGACCTTTTCAAAAGGTCGCCGTTTAAAACTGTTTCCATAAAATGTCGATTTTTTGAAAAAATCGCCGATTAAACCTACCGTCTATGTGTGCTACTGGGTCCAAAAGACAATGTCAAATCTTTTCAAAATTATTTTTGTGTACGAGAAGAGCATTTATATCTAAAAAACGACTCTTTTCCTTGGGGGTATTTGCATAGAAGATTTTTTTTGAGAAAAAAAATTAGGTTGGGATAAGTTACATAGAAAGTTTGGTATTGAAGATTTTTTTTTTTAATTTTCCATAACTTTTTTCCTTCCTTTCTCTTTCTAACTTTTCAACCCCAATACTGTCTCCATTTTCATCCTCTCTCTCCCTACCGCCAGATCTCCTGCATACCCATCACAACTATTCTGCTCTCGAATTCACTTTCCCTCTCCGTCCTACTCCAACCCTTGCTTCTCTCTTCCTCTCTGATCTCCCACCCACCCTTTCCTTCAACCCTGCAAAGCCCTTCCTTAACAATAGCTTCTTTCTCTCGATCCTCACGTTACCCAAAATCTACCAAAGTTTTACGGATATCATCTCTCCAAATGCTTCATGTAGATATTCAAGAACACAACAACGAATACAATGTAGAGTTGTGGCTTTTTGCTGATCTTTCGAGAAAAGATAGATCCAATTCTCCCCGTTTTCTCTTCAACGTACCGTTTTTCTCTCTCTATCGGCTATTGTCTCTCTACTGACCATCAATATACCATTAAGAGACAGGGTGCGGTTTCGATAAAGTTGCAATGTTAAACAATTCAATTAAAGCGCACCTCCAAATTTTATCATAACATGTAATTTTATTGTAGATTTTTTTAGGATTATCTTAAAAACAATTTTTACATCTAATTAAAAAACTCTAAACTCCAAAAATGGTTACAATCAAATAGATCTATAAACATATGAAAATCTCGAAAATGGATAGTCTAGATAATGTTTTACAAGATGTACTATTTTTTGGATTAAAAAACTTTTTTTTTTAATATTTATACATCTCGATATTGAGATGATCAATTAGAATGTTTTTCAACATTAAAACAGCTTTTTCGATAGACTTTTGAGATGCATCCATGATTCTACATTTTAGGGTTGCAAAATAAAATAAACTTTTTCCTTGTGAGACATAGTAATAGAACTATAGAAACAAAAGCTTTCTCAGGTCCCAAGGGTGTAGAGGAATCTAAAAAACGAAACATAACTACCAGAGAAAAAAGAGTGAAGCGAATGTTGTTAACAACCAGAAAAAAAATAAATAAAATAAATAGTAAAGCGAATGTTTTTAGTCAAAAAGATTTACGTCAATCCTTGTTTCATTATTTTTCCTTGATTCATTATTTCCTTGTTTCAAGGGAACTTGTAGATTTTTCAGATTTTTTTTATCCGAATCGGAGCGACTTAGGTGAGTCCAAGCCTGATTTCATAAAGTTTTTAAATCATTGGTTTCACAAATAATTACCCAAATCGCTTTTGGATCCGCTCTACAATGGAATCCAAATGCTGAATAATCCGCAGGAATAAGTTTGCAATGATGACGTACTACGTCCCCTCTGCTCAATAAAGGAAGACGTTTGGTGTTACTTCAATGGCAAGGAGTGATTTACATAATTAACCCCCAAAACAAAACAAAAAAGAGTGATTTACTTACGTACTCTAAAATCATTCTTAAAAATATAAAATGGTCCATTTATAGTGATTTACACACTTTCCCTGGGGCATTGTCCTACTAAAAAAAAATTAAAAGAAAAAAAAATTAAAATTCGGACCGAGGATTCCATCCTCACACCGAAGGGAAATTTAAAAACAATAAGAGTTAATTACATATGGAGCCTAAAAAATACGAAGAATACGAGATGCTCTCTTTTTAGCAAAAAAATTACCAGATGGTCAACACATGGGTTTTTTTTGTATTTCCAAGTTTGCCCTAACAGTATGAGGTTGAAATTATTGGACCGCTTTATTTTTTCAAAACTTTGTTGTTCGAGGTTGAAATTATCAGACTACTTTACTTCTTTCAAAACTCAAGTTGCGGTCCAAGGTGGAAATACTCGGACTGCTTTATTTTTTTCAAAACTTAAATTGTGGTTCGAAGTTTAAATTCTTGGACCACTTTATTTTTTCAAAAACTTAAAAGAGGTAGAGAGAGAATATGCCACAAGATTTCTCTTAATCTTTTAATCTCATAATCCCTGAGTTTGTCCAAAATTTATGGGCTCAAACTAGTTGTTCCCTTTGGATTTTATCGCATAACTGTGACTTCAGAGAGGAAGAGAAAATACGCCACAAGAGAGAAAACATTTTTCAGTTTTTCAAGAACCGAAATTAGTGTATTTTAGGTTGTCGAACAATTGAAAAAACTTTTAATTCTAGTCGTTCAACAACCGAAAAAAAGTAAATTCGTATTTTTTTAAAATTTTTATTTTGACATGAAAAAACAAGCACGGTTGTAATAACATAAATTATTTGATAAAACTGTAATAACGGAAATTACAACTGATATATATATAATTTTTCCTTATAAATATAATATAACCTTCATTTTGGTTATTGTGAATGTCAAATGTTGGATTGATTCTCAAATGTCACTTCTAACCGGTCTGCCCTTTTGCCGTGTATGAATTG